AGGAACCATCCTTGATAAGGATGACCAGTGGAAAAACAAAACCCACGGGCAATAAAGCCGGTTTATTATGGTTAAAAAATGAGTATGAAAGCCCAAAAACAGAGATAGGTAGAAGTAGGACCGTGCAAGTTAAGCTGATTTCTACTAATAAAACAGGTTCCTTATGAGCATCATATATCATAGACACTTATGACTATTATCCAAGCAAAAACTTGAGCAACCTAAATATAAAATCATTCGAACAGTTTCCATACTGATGGAACTCATTAGACTTGCTTTATACACTGTAGTCGGAACCTTAAAATCAGTTCTTTACAAGTAGGCAAAACAAGGTGTCAGACATGTCAAAGGAAAGCAATTATACAAGTACTAAGAACTGTTGATCCTTCCCTTTTTTAGATTCACAGGCATAATACCAACTTCCTTCTGCAGATTGCTTTTCCAAAAATCATATATGGCTTACCTATGATCTTTTTGATTATATGACTATGCCCGTGCAACTCCTTGATGAAGAATAATTCATTTTTATAGCTTACAAGTACATGATGAAAGTTCACTCGTTCTCAATCATATCCAGAGTGAACTTGCAGGAACAACTGTATCTCAGTTGCCACTCAGTTGTCCTTCTCGTGCTTATTTGCATTATACTTCAGTTCACTCTGCTACAGCTAGTAAGCTACGTGAAAAATTAAGCAATACGGTGTCCCGGTTATAGAGAAATAAAGGTATGCAATCGAATATATGCAAAAGAGAATACCATATGGACAGGTTAAATTAATTTAAATCAGTGTTGTCAAAGGCGAAAANTGTGTGTGTGTGTAGTGCACGAAAAAAGTGACAATTTTATTCATAATGATTTCCTCAACAATTAATATATCTTTTTGCCAATCATACTTATTGTTTTGTACCACTTTATTCCGGCAATAAGGCGCACGCCTTAGCGCCTTGCCTATACTGAAGTGTAGCCTAAGTGAGGCGAAGCGCATACCCTGAGCTTATCTGAGCTTCAGGGCTTAAAGGCACCTCAAATGAGCCTTTGACAATACAAATTTAAATGCAAAGTCCACAAACAACTACTAACCTACTACTACTACTACTACAGAGAAAGCCCTTGGAAAGAATTTGTCATTACTGAAAGAATCAAAACCCTCTCCCTTATTGGAACCTTGAGTTGAACTATTACGACCTTATTTGATTTTCACATACTAAGCCAATATGCTTTAAATATGGATCATCCAGTAATTTCTACAACTCAAACGTAATGTAAAATCATACAGATAGATTAATGAAAAGTAAGTTACTCTTTTGACAGTACGAAAAAATACAGGATAAAACTTTAAGAAGTAAAGGTGTTTAGCTCCAAATTATCAAGTCAGAGAAATTAAATATTAGAACTTAGAAGGACAGAAAAATTTCATCCACAAGATTCCAATTTTCTTCGGTTAAAAAAAATGTTATGTCCACTTCCAAATAAACATGTACTACTGTCCAGCCAAGCCAAGCTAAGCTCCTCAAGCTTATGTACAGACATACTTGTTTTCAGCCAATATAATGGCCCTATAACTATAAGCCAAAGCATTCCACATTGTTGCCATAAAAGCAGAGCATTTATCTATCAAAACCTAAACACCTGTAACCCAGCTTATCTCGGGTCAGCGATCACACAATCATCAAAACTTATCCATTGACAACAGGAATTATCATTGAAACTAGTTACAACATTTGAAAGAGACAAACAAGAATGAAGTCTACCAAGATTAACAACCCTTGACATGGCATGTTCCGATCAACAAAACAGTGATAAATACGCAAACTTTGGACAAAAAAGGAAAAAGTCACAGCACAAGCGAATGAATTCTTACGCTGAAAATCTTTTCTCGGTGACGGCGGAGAAGATATATGGCAGAAAATAGCTCGTCCAATCATAGACAAACTGTAGACTATCCCAGCCACGTAAAAGACCATGACCAAACCGAGCACCCAAGGCATCATTAAGAATCCAATAAAGAAAGTCACAGATCCACATAGCATCAAAGCAAATGAAATCCCCAAAAGCAGAGACGCAAATCCCGCCGGAGTAATATGCTGCATCGATCCTGCCACCGCCGTCCTCCTACCTGAAGTCGACGGAGACACCGTCAAAGAATCATCGGGAAACTCAATCGGCCCCGGTGGTGACCTTATAATATTTAAAATCAACGAAGAGAGCTCGTAGAAAACCTTAGATTGTTGATCCTGTTGCCTTCTCATCATCTTGTTTTCTTTCTTTCTTTCCTTTTTTTCTCTAAAGGAAATTGGAGAAAATTAATTGCAGAGGAAAATATAATATGAGAATGGAAATTACAGAAAACGAGGCAAATGGATAATGTTCTGAGAGGATTTTGACTGATAATTATCCTCTCTTTTTTAATAACAAAACTCCTTTTTTTCGCCTGTTTCTCCAAAGAGAAGAAAATTCAGAAACTTAAATTAGAAAAAAGATGACAGAATTATTGCGTATAGGAAGAGAGAAACAAGTTGCTTTATCTTCAAGCGACCGGATAATAGGATTCTGAAAAGTAGAGAAGAAGGAGAAGATAAAGGATTGCCCAAAAATCCGTTGAAGAAAATTCGTCTACGCGGATATTGGCGATTGTGTCGTACGAGCTAAATGTAAACGAGGATGACGCGGAGACTTATCTGGATTGAGAGCCCATGGCCATACGTACATACCTACATTTGTTAGTGGCGCGTGTTTGTAGATTATCCGTTTATAGGGCGACGCGTAAAGATTAGTTGTGTGCTGAATAATTTGTTGGAGATTTAGAACATAATTTTATCTAAAACCCAAAAAGCAAACGTATAACACGACCGATCTTGAAAAGTGCAATATAAAAGGCTGTGGTGGGGTCTTAATGTCTTATAGTGATAGAGAGGTGTAATTATCATTATCTACCTCTATCTATTATAAAGATACGATATGTTATTTTGAGCTTTAGCCTTTCGTTCGACGGTTTGAGGCTTTGAATAATTTCATATAGTGTATTATGACTTGTATTTATGGTTAGTTTTTATTTTTAAATGGTTCATAGTTGATTTGGAAGAGTAATTCTCAATTCGGAAGTTTTAAGTTAGAAAAGTTGACCAAGATTTGACTTTTGAGTAAACGATCTCGAAATAGGGATTTCATGATTTCAATAAGTTCGCATGATAATTTGGAATTGGGTGTATGTTCGGATTTGAGTTTAGATGTTTCTAGAAGGATTTGGTCCTATTTGTCGAGAGTTAGCAATTTGAAGAATTGGAAAGTTCATAGGTTTTATCGGAAGTTGACTTTGGTATTCTTCGAGATTTGATTGGTATTCCGGGACTTCCAATAGGTTCAGTTGGTTGATTAGAACATGCGTGGAAAGTTTGATTGTGATCTGAGATGTCTAAGTGTGATTCGGACGTGTTCGATGAATTTCAAAGGTTTGAAAGTTAAGAGAATGATGATATTCAATTCTTGAATTTGATGTTAAATGTGGTGTTTCGAACTTTCAGATAGTTTGAATATTGTATTTGGATTTGTAGATGTGATTGGATGGGGTCCCGAGGGATTTGTGTGTGTTTCTGGTCAGCTTCGGACCATTTCGGAGTTGTATGGATTGTTAGTTCTGGTGCATCGCATCTGCAGAGCATTGGTCGCACATGCGAAGTCGCATCTGCGCGTGAGGTGTTCTTAGATGTGAAGCTGATGAATCCTCGGGGTTGGCTGCTTCTGTAGAAGTAAGGTCGCAGGTGCAGAGTCGCACTTGCAGATGTATGTGCGTACCTATGCAGGTGGGGTGGACTGAGGAGTCACACTTCTACGCTTGTGGAGTCGCACTTGTAGCTTTGTAGATGCGGCAGTAGGGGCGCAGATGTGATGAAGGCATGTTCTATTGGAACTCGTAGACGCGAGTAATGGACTCGCAAAAGCGAGCTCGCAGATGCAAGCTGGAGGCCCGTAGGAGCTAGGATGCCTATAGAATGTTATATTCAAGGGTAGCTTCATTTTATCTTATTTTGAGATTGGGAGCTCGGATTGGAGCAATATTTGAGGCAATTTACGCCCACGTAGATGTGCTTATTTTTCACTCTGATTTGATCATTATTCATGATTCTATCTTCGATTTTGGCATTTGATTGATGAATCTAAGGAAGAATATTTGGGGATTTTATCTACACTTTAAGATAGTATATTTTGAGGATTTGAGTATCGATTTAGACTTAGTTTTGAAAACTAATTATAAATTTGGACTCGGCATTATGGATCATCGAATTTTTGTATTGGTTTCGAATTTCGGGCATACGAGCCCGGCTGACTTTTGTTGACTTTTGGGAATTTCTTCAAATATCAAAGCTTTGTAGATTGGGATAATTTCGTATGGCATTGTTAATTTTCTTGGATGATGTTTTGCTTGGATTTACCTGAGTGGAGGGCTAGAGCATGATTTTAATATTACTCAAGGTCAAAGACTAGCCCGGATGAGGTAAGTATCTTGCCTATACTTGGATTGAGGGTATTTCCCAGTTAGCCATGATATTTGTTATATGTTGGGGGTGACGTATATGCGTGGTAACGAGCGTATATGCGTGCGCTATGGTTATTCGTGGTTCAGCTAGATCTTAGGATATTATATGCCTTGTTTTGCTATCATGCCTCTTTGATACCGTATTTTCTCCACTTGTATGATTACGTGAGTTATTATTCATGCTAGAATCATGTCTAGGCTATGTTCTTATCTGTTTGAGTAATAGGGCTATTTTTGCTATGTGAGCTGTTTAACTTAATTGTAGTCATATTTTTAGTCATGATATTATATCCGCGTATTATATCTCTATCTCTATGCACTCTTTGTATGTTATCTCACATGTTGTTGGTATTCTTATTTGTGTGACCCGGGTTAGGCTAAGTTGTTGTATGATTGGTATATTCTATGTGGTATTTTGATTATGGTACTGTGAGATGTGAGCATTTTGAGACCTGGGCAGATTGATAACAAATCTAGGGTCATAGAGCCTTGCTGATATTAATAGTGAGGTGACACGTGCCTTAGGCCTCATATTGGGCTGAGTGGTATTGATAGTGAGGCGACGTGTGCGCCAGGCCCTATATTGGGCTGAGTGACGTTGATCGTTGACTTTGATCTGATCAGTGCTTGGGCTATGATATGCTCGTCCAAAGTCAGGTGATAACCCATGTTACTTTGGACACTTTGAGTGCAGGCCTTGATATAGGCTTGGTGAGTGACTAATGTCAAGTGCCCATATAGTGCAGAGTGTTCGTGTGTGTATGATGATCCATGGGCATTTTTTCAGGCACTATGAGAGTGATTAGAGTATGATTCAGGGGCATTATGCCAGGCACCGTGAGAGTGTTGGGAGTATGACTTATAGATACTTGTGTCAAGCTCTATGAATGTGCTGAGATTTTTTTATACTTGATTATTTAACTGTGAAATTGGTGATTTGGCATATGTATATTTGACAAGCAGGCATAGAGTTGTATTTTTCTCATGCTATTTGGTATTTGATATCTCTATTTGATGTCTAGAGCTTGAAATTACAATTTGCCTTGATAAATCTCTATCTAAGTGATTTTTATGGAAAAGCTGATGCCTTGACTGATATTCCTGAAATCTTAAATGAAGCTATTAGGATCATATGTGGGGTTAGTTACACAAAAAAATCAAAGAAATGGAACAAACGAAAGTCCGGATGGCATATGCCAAATGAGCGATTCACCCTTTTTGTTTTTGTTGTGTTTTGAAGTTCCAACCTAAACTAGTTTCTTCCATACTTCACATATGGAACTGAATAATATACAAGCATAGAATACATGTTGTAATTTTCCTTGAAAACTCTCAAAATATTAAGAAGAAAGTCTAGAACATAGCTAAACTAAATCATACCGAAAACGAAACAAAAACCCTACATACCTCTTGTTCTTGCTTCCAACCCTTGTTTTCTTTGATCCACACCCCTTCTTATGCTTGTATAGCTAAATACATAGGTGATAAGATTGTGCAGCCATGAAGCTCTTTCTAAAACTTGAGTTACAAGGAGAACGGAGGACGGCAAAGACTTACCTATGTCGTATGGATCGTGTTGATGTGTTCACTTTTTAATTTTGAGTTTCAAATGATGGACTTGCTTCAAAACCCTAAGGAACTTCTTTGAGAGCTATGGAAGCTTTGTTGTGCGTGAATTTGCTGGAAAATGAGGAAATAGAAAACAAAGTTGAAAGGTCAACCACATGTGTGCTTCACCGGTCCTTCTTCCGACGCTCATATCTCTTTATCCATATGTCGTATGAACGAACTGTCAAGAGCATTGAAAAATACATTACAACACCTTTAATTTGGTATATAATATGTTCCCAAAAGACCTCATGTAATACACAGAATTAATTTCTCAAAAAACTTCGTTACAAGGCAAATTCTTAGTCGGTTTTTCTACAACTTAAATCTGATATTTCAAACTTTATATTCTATATCCAAACATCATAAATTATTTATAACTTTAAACTCATTTAAATCATGCTTAGCAAGTCATTTACACAATATACGATATTATAGAAGTGTGGGGTGTCGCAAGAACTTTTCAAGAGTCAAATATATTAATGCGTGATGACAACTTCTTCTCCTCGTTAATCAATTATGCTACCAATAACTCAACAAAGTATGGGATATCAACTCCACTAGGTAGATCCATATTGGCAACAAAATCATCAAGTAATAATAGAGGCATGGATTAACATGTTAGAAACAACGCATCAAATAATGTAAAAATGCATGATATGCAAAAGAAGTCATAAACAAAAATAAGAATGCCCCTTTTTATACCACCATACAAACATAATCAAGGGAAATCTCCCCCAGGCTATCACATAAAATTCCCACATTACTACCCTTATATCGCCCCATGCACATCATAATGAAATGCCTCCCATATGTCGTTGCATGCACATAAGCCACCCTTATCTTGCCGCATGCACATCACAATGAATTGCCTCCCTTATATAGCTTCAAGTGCATCTAGCTACCATTATCTCGCAGCATGCACATCAAAAATTAAATGCATCCCTTATGTCACTACATACGCATCTAAACTCAATTCGCACAACATGTCCATATATGCCACAATTATCACAATAATCCAAGATAACAATTTATCATTAAAAGGCACATCCTCATGACTCATCAATAAAGCGCAAAACGACGGGTAACCTAAAAGTACTGAAAAAGTATGACTATGGTAAAATCAAGTATAGCAATCAAGTTCAAGTAGTCGTATGAAGGAGCACATACGTATCATAGAGTGTGCACGTCTCAACCAAGGCACATTATAAGAACAAGTTCGGATGTGTGTTTAAACCTACGTGTATCTATCCTCTAGACAAAAATAGCATAAGTCTCAAAATTTGCTCATTATATTCAACATAAAGGTATCGATAGCCTCAACATTTCCTCTAGCATGATTTATTGTACTAATTTAATTGAATAATTAAATAATAAATGGAATCAGGTAAAACATACAACCAATCAAGACTTAGAGTAAGCTAG